ACGCATGCGTATCTTCTCTTCGAAGACAGGGTGAGACCCAGCCAAAATTGGTTCGCTCGGCTCGGTTTTTTCCCCATATAGGGGGCTACATCTTTTGTGTACGCATGCGTCTTGTACAGGCTGCGGTTGGCTGATCATCCTATCTGTCATTGGAAGAGCCAATGGAGTGAGCCTGGGGTTCCACTTCCCGCCCAACGGTAGGGGGCGCTGAGGGTGTATTGTGGTCTTTGTCCGCACCCTCGCCGGTATGGACGAAGGGATTGAGGAGTCTGTCCTGGCAGTGGGCGACAAGTATGGCAGTTGTCTTCACTGCCCTCGTTTACTGTGTCACAGAGGGGAGGGAAGTGGGGAGGAGGGTGTGGCGGGTCGGCGTTGCTTCCGAGCACTGTCCGAGGGCTATTTGCCAATCAACCATTTATCCGAGCTCCTCCCGTGCGCCCGGCACACTGCCCGAGGCGCTTCGGAATACGGCGATCTTTGCCTTCGTGGTAGTTTACAGCGGTTACAGATTAAACAAGTGCCTTATTGCTTTCCTTCTACCCCTTCTCCTTAGGTGGAGATTTTCTCTTTTTGAACCCGGAACCGCGCTGTCGTCCCAGCTGGGCTCCGGCTGGCAGGGCAGGGATTGGGCGCCATGGCCCGCACCAGGATCCCCAACTCAAGCGAAGGTGGTGACACGGGCGAGTAGGGGCGCCACGGGTCCCGTGAGGGCGGGGCTTGGCAGTCGCGTGACTGGCCCGTAGGGGGGCCCTTCCCACCCCCTCGGGCCGGCGTCGTTGTCCCCAGCTTTTATTGGGCACGTGGCGGCTGATGCGCAGTAAATAGGAGTGACTCTCCCCTGCTAAGGCGGGGACGGCTCTTTACGAGACCAAACAAACTGCCAGGGCGAGGCCCTTGGTGCTGTAAACACGTGGAAGCAAGTACAAAGCGAAGGCGCGGGGGAGGGAAGGGTGGTTAAATGTGAAGCAATCCAACGGAAAACACTAACTTCTGGGCCCCCAGGGCTGATCTAAACTAGACCTAGCCGGGAAGTGCGCGAGGGGAGGTAAGAACCAGGCAGGAGGCTGTATGAGCTTTCGCGTGCCACCTCTTCTTCCTCTTGGGCCCCGGCTTTACCAGCTGTGAAATAAGGCAGAGGAATGGATGTGCCCCTTGGCCTGGCAGTAACACACAGTAATTTAAGACTGCGAACAGACACAAGCTGTATCTGCTTCAGTAGGAGCCACTTTGGAGTCTGGGGTGGGGTGGTCCCGTGTCCCTTCCACATCCGCTGTTTCTGAAACGTTTCCACAATCACAAGGCTGGAAAAGTTACGCAGCCAGCCCATGGGACTGAGGGGTGAGTCAGAAGAATATGAGCTAGAGAATTTGCCTGGCCTTCTTGGCTGGAACAATCAGATACCACCCTTTGCCTCCTGCCTCTCAAGAGCCACCTCTTTGCCGGTAGGAGCCCAGTGGGTTGTAATTCTTCCGTGGATCATATCTGAGTCCAGGAAACTGGGACCCTCAGGATCTGGCACTCCTTCAGGAGCTGGTCTTGCAGCTTGAAAGTAGAGGAGAAACTGCAAAAAGTCACCACGCCCGTGAATATTAAAAAAAAAAAAATTCTATCGGGTTTGTAGCACTCTACAGTTTGCAAAGTGCACTTTCGCATGCATTATCTTATTTTTGCCTCACTGAGCACATACTGTGTGCCAGGCACTGAGCCAGACACAAAAATGAATGAGGCAGTGCATTTTAAATAGGTGCTTTCAGTCCAGTTGTAGAGAGAAACTAGAAACTAGTACCTACATTTCCAGGTAGAATGAGGTAGGTGCTATAAAGAAGGGGCAGATTCCTAGGACATCTCATTGGAAGCTATCATAGCCAGCTGAACAGGACAAGGGAGGGAGAGAAACCAGGAAAAGTTTCATGGACAGAAAATTGTAGAAGTGAAACCTTAAATGATAGGAAAGGTTTTAAAGCTAGAAATAGGGGTGTTAGAGCAGTTTTTTGCTCTTCTTACCCAAGTTAAGTTTATCTATTTCCATGTCTTTGACAAGTAGCAATAGTAAGTATTCCAGCTCTGAAATATCTTCTAAACTCATCTTCTCTCCATCCCTTCCTTGGCTTTAGGCTCTCACTGTTTCTACTTGTAGAGGATCCTGACTGGGCCACTTGCCTCCAGTGCTGCATTACATCCAAATGATTTTCAGCATTACTTTCAGGGGGAGCTTTGACTAGCAGGAGCTTTCCAAAATACAAATCTGATCAAGTCCCTCCTCTACTTAAAATCTTTTGATGACTAAAAATCTTCCACGGAATAAAGTCCAAGTCTTGGCAATCAAGGCCCTTCATAATGAGGCCTCTGCCTACCTCTTCAGCTCTAGGTACTATGTCTTTGACCTGGCCCATAATGTTTGATTTCCTGAAGGCACCATTGTCTCTATACCCTATATGTTATTCCTGATATAAGGAATGCCTTCCCCACCCTCATTTGCCCAGTTAGCACCTACATGTCTACAAAATCCATCTCAAACACCTCCTCTAAGAAGCCTCCCTGATCTCCACTAGTTTGGATTTGAGTTGCCTTATCTCTGGTCCCAAAAGGCCATTTACATTCTTCTTATGTGACATTTAACTTGGACTCAAGTGTTAATTGTTGGTTCACTCTTCTCTTATCCCCACTAGACTGTGTGTTGCCTAGAGGAAGGAGCTGTCTTGTTCCTTTCTCTATCCCTAGTGCCTAATACACAGTATAGGTGCTTAATAAGTGTTTCTTGCATTTCAGACAGAAGATGGCAGGAGCAAACCACAAAGGATCTGTCAAGGAAAGAAGTGGTCAGTCTGGTCTGTTTAGAGTCCAAGGGACACACAGGGAGTGGGATGGACTAAGCCCGGAAAAGGGGGTTGTATTGGCTCTTTGAAGGCCTTGGGAACCAGACCAAGGAGTTTGGACTTTATATGATGGGAGTGGAGAACTATGAGGTGTTAGATTATCAGAGGTGGGTCAAAGATGGGGAGGATGGATCGTAGAAGGGGAAGGGAGGAATTAAAGAAAACAGGCAGCTATTAGCTATGTTATACAGAAATAGAGGCTTAGGAAGATTATGGCTATCCAAGGCCACACAACTAGTAGGTGGCAGAACTAGCAGTTGAACTAGTTCTGGACTATGCCAAATCCAGAGATCTTTACCCAAGGAGTACGCAGTAGATGGGGCTTCAAGGTTGTTCAAGCATGAGATGGATACTGCATCAATATGTAGGTTATAATTGCAGGCATTATACTCAAATCGCTGCAGCTTAACACAACACACTTATTAATATTTTCTATTCGCACTCTGGTGCTGGACAAACACCTTAAGGTGGCTTAGCAATCCAGGCTGCTTTGATCTTCTAGCACTCCATCCCAACATATGCTTCTGCAATTCTCACAACAGGGAAAGAGCACTTGGAGAATCAGACACTAGCTGCATTTCAGAAAGGACACACATTATTTCCCATTACAGGCTGGTGGGCAGAACTCGTCCAATGACCCAGCTTGACTACGCAGGGGCTGGGATGCACAGCTTTTCGTGTCCAGGAAGGGAAGAGAACAGGAAATATTTGTGGGCAATAGCAAGGCCCTCCCAAGATGAAATGGGGTGATACCTATAGTGAAGGAGTGGTGGGCCAGGCAGTCTGAGGAACATTCAGGAGGTGTACACGAGAGAGGCTTTGCTCATGATTTGGGTGTTAGGTCAGGGCTGTCCTGGCTACCTCAGGAAAAGGTCCCCTCTTTCATGGGCATGGGGAAGCTAGAGAATACATCGTACTAGTGGGTTCTCACTTGTACCCATGTCTGTAGAATTTGGGGAACTACAAAGACAGAAGGGAGGATGACCCGACTCGAATGGTTATTGGCAGGAAGCCTCAGTTCTTGGACATGTGGGCCTCTCCATAGGGCTGCTTAAGTGTCCCACAACATGGCATCTGGGAGGGAGAGAGAAGAGATACAAACCAACCATGATTCATTGTGGGAGGAGACCATACAAGGACATGAATACCAGGCAGGGATAATCGGAGGTCATCTTGGACCTCCTGCTCAGCTCATTGTTCCTCTCTGCCCCTGCTGAGGGAGACGTGGGGTGAACTCAGCAATGACCTTAGGAGGGAAGCAGGACCAGTATGGACGGTCGCATGGGAAACCCAACACACAGAGACATTCTGTGACTTGCCTGATTCCCATGTCAGTGAAGCGGGGCTCTTGCAGCAGCCTGTAAATGCAGCAAACACAGCCTTCACCATGTGATGTGGATTTTAGGCATTTGGAGGCCTGTTTCCACCATTATATATGGGCCCTCACACTCCATGTTTGCCTCTGCAGTGCCTAGCATGGGCTAGGGACAGAGGAGTGGCCAAACCCTGTTAGTAGTGGGCCAAGCCTGCTAATGCACTGCATCTGCCCCATGGCATGGCTGTGCCAGGTATGAGGAGGCAGGAGTAAGAGCAGCCCACCCTGGCTTTGGGATGTGTGAGGAAGGCAGGAGAGGCTCCCGGGCACTGTTAAAGCACTTGGAAAGGCAGAGCAAGGGCAGCTTCCCCTGCTGGAGGGAAGCATGCTGTGAGGACCATGAGGGTGGAGTCTCTCTGTGCCTAACACAGTGCCCCGGGCAAGTTCCTGCCGCAGAAAGCTGTGGGCAGTCACACGTCCTCTACGGTGCTACACCCCTACACCAAACACCATTCCATGCCAGACGACCCTGGGTGGTATTTCTGCTTTTCTTGGGTCCCAGGATCCCTCCTGTGGCTTCTAACTGGACAACCCTTCCCTAGTCCTGGGGCTGCCGCCTCCTGACAGAGAACCTGGAAGAAATTCTCACCTACAAATCCCACCTGAGACACCTGGAAGCACCCTGCCCTGCAGGCTGACCTCCACCTTCCCCGCCAGGGTGAAGGGCTGGCCGCTCACCCTGGCAGGGCCACACCAGTCCTTCCTTCCCCTCCTCGGCCGCGCCAAAGAAACCAAAACCCAAGCCGAAGTATCAGAAACGTGTATTCTTTTTCTTTTAATAGTAAACCTCTTTACAACAAATATAGTGAAAGAGTTTTCAAACAAAACTCATAAGAATCTCGAGGACTTTGTCTTTTCTTATTGTGTAGAATACTAAGAAAGCATCACCATACAGCACGAAAAGAAATATTGAAAACAAATCAACAGCCACACACTTGGACTCGCCCTGCCCCAGGACCCAGGAGGAGCCCCAGGAGTGTGGGTGATTGTCGGGTTTTGGGGTGGGGCACCTCCATGGCCTGTCCCGCCCCTCTCTTCCTCTTCCTCACCCCCCTCCCTCCGCCTGGGACTTGAATGGGGAAGAGGAGAGAATCCAGATTCTCCGTGTAACATTCCAGCCCCCCTCCCCCCATACAAATCCCATTCCTACTACCAACTGCTTTAGGGGGCGGGGAGAGGCAGCAGAGGGGAGGACAAGGAGTTCCCAAGCTCCATGTCTCCTCCCCTCCATGAAAGCCTAAATTTACCCTCACCCCACCCCAGGGGATTCCAAAGAGTCAGTTAAAAATATATAGAGATATAGATATTTCTAGATACACTTTTACATCATTTTTGTCTCTCCAAACAAATAAATAATCAGCAAGAGAAGGTGCATTACTTCCTTCCTGTCCAAGGTGGGGAGGGTTAAGTGGGGGTCAAGGGTCAGTCTCGCTGCATTGAGTACACTATTGGGGGGGATGGTGTGTTCTGTTGAGGTGGGGTCCTCTTGCCCACTGTCCCTGAAAGCTGTGGGAAACCTGGGGAGGGGAGGAGCATTGGATGACTCCAGTGGTTACTTTGGCAAATGCCCAGTTCTTCAGAGGGAGTGAGTGGGTGGAGGCAAATTTGGCTTGTGAGAGGAAGAAGAAATTAAGTCCCCATTTGAGGTCTGGGTTCCCAGGGACCCATTCATCTGGCCAGCCAGGAGCCCCTTCCGCCAAGAGAAACCTTAGGATACTGAATTGCAGAAATGTCACATATTCATTCACGGACCACCCCGTCCCCAAGGACAGAGAGGAAAGGACACAGACACATCCACACATGGTAATCAAAAGCCAGGTTTGCCTTACGAGGCAGAGGGCAAAACTGGTGAATATTGCACCGTGAACTGCAGGGGCCCTGACCCCCACCCCATGCTTAATGGTGGCCAAGCCCGGCCTAGAAAGTGGGTAGACTAATAGTGGGAAGAGCCTGAGAAGGGAAGGCCAGTCTTTCCACGTTTATTGAGCACCTATCATTCAACCATTCACCCATTCAACATTTATTGAGCGCCTACTGTGCGTCAGGCACTGGGCAAGGCTCTGCACACGTGCACCAGACTGCACCCTGGCTTCTTTCAAGCCCCTGATTAAGTCTCATCAGTTCTTGAAACTCCCTCCAGGAACCTGCAGGAGAGGTGGGAAGGCTGGATGTGCCGTGTCCCCGCCTGGTCAGCAGGTCGGGGTAAGCTGTGAGTAAGGAAGGATCCCTGCTCAGTTGAGGAAAAAGCTTCAGGGAGGAAGAGGAACTTGAGTTTTGCTCTGAAAGCAGGCCTGGGGTGAGGGCAAAGGGCACTCCAGGAACTGTGTCACGGTGTGGGGGACTACGTGGACAACTGTGGGGAAGCAAAGGGTCATGGAGGGAGGCCCTGGCAGAGGTAGGGCTATGGGGAGACGCAAAGAGGGCCAACTGCCAGTCCCCTAACTGCATTTTGAACATGTCAGAGGGTGAAAGCAGGGAAGGAGGGAGGAAGGGTCAGAGAGCTGGAAGCCAGGGCTGTGGAGCTGGAACAGCCACCTGCCCCTTTGTAAACACACACCAGCCACACAACACAGAGATGCCCCTAGAGCTCCAATCACACAGATTCACAAACACACCCAGACAGGCTCAGAGACACACAAAGGTACAGCCATGCACCCGTACATACACACATAAATACAAGGGTACACTCAGACATATAAAACACCGGATGCCCTCAGGAACACACTCAGTACATGTGTGGTCACGCACACCCCTCTGCTTCTGGTTCCTTCCCTGCGTCAAGTGTTGGAATACTGCAAGAGGCTGGGTCATAGAGGCGGGCAAAGATGGTCATCTGCCATAAAACTCGGCCTTGTCTGACTCTACTGTCCGAGTGAGAGGAAACCCCAAGGGAGCGCTGCACCCCTTGGGCAGAGGAGCTGGGCTTGTGTGAGGAGTGGGGCAGACCCCTGTCTGCCTGCCCATGTCACCCAGGCCAGGCTCCTCGGGGCAGGGTGCAGTGGGGGAGAGCAGGCTGGGTGTCTGTCCCCTCCAGTTTGATCTCTGATCCAGCCTGAGGCCTCGGGACCCCGAGCTTCGGCTACCCCTGAGCCCCTTGCCCACTGCCCCCCTGAGGAGGCAGCAGAGAGGGGCAGGCTCAGGGGAGGGGAAAGGGAGCAAAAACAACAGCAGAAGAATCTCGTCTGTACAGTACGGGCCGTTTGAGTCATTATTATTACAATATACTTTGACAAAAATAGAATCTCATTTCATATCAATACAACAACAACAAAAAAAAACAGTTTCCTGGACTGTTACACGGCTAACGTTTTCCAAAGGTCGCTATTTACAATTACAGTAGCCAAGAGGGAAGGTGGGATGCAGCCTAGAGGTGGCGGGACAAGGAGGTAGCAAGAGACATTGGGGTGCCAAGAGCAGGAAGGTGGGGCGAGGTGCAGAAGGAGCTAACCGGAGGGGCCGGGGAGAGGGGCCTCTACGGACCTCATCCACAGGGACCTCCCGCAGCCACGAACCATCCCAGTGTCCACTCCTCTGGGTAGTGTGCGTGCAAGGCCCAGGACGTCCCCTCACCACACTTGCCCTGATGAAAGGGCTCTGGCCTTTGGGCACCCAGGGAAGCCCCAGGCCGACTCTTGCCCCGAGCCACCTCGCTCAAGTCCCTCTCCCCATTCTCCCTGCACACTGGCCAGCCCTGGGCTGGCGTCGAGTGAGGGATGGGAGCTATTGCACTGTATATCTTAGAGAAAAAGCCGGGGAAGGGAGGGGCCCCAATCTGCCCCTTGCCCAGCCCTTCTGCCCTCCTCAGCCCTCTTCTCATGGCTCTCTGTCTTTCTCTCCAAATGTGCTTCCAAGAGAGGCTCCCACCTCAAACCCCTGCCCCGTCCTCGGATTCCCAGGCAGCCTTCCCGGCCCAAAGCTCCGCCAGCACCCACACATCCTGCAGGTGCAGCACACGCGAGTCAGTGAGGGTGTGTCGCACGTGTGTGCAGGGGCATCTGGGGCCAGGCTTGGGTATTCTGCCCCATGTGTGTATGGCCTCATGAGCAGCCCGGAAGCAGAGGGACTTTTCGGAACCTCTGCCTCACTTTCCCCTTGAAACACAAACCCACCCATCAAGCCAACTTTGGGGTTTCAGTCTATTGTATGGGTTTTTTGTTGTTTGGTAGTCTTTTTGGTTATTTCCCTCTATCTGGAGGAGGGGTGGGAGGGCTCCACATGCAGGGCTCGGCACCTGTCCTTTCCCAAAGGCCTATCGGGCCCCCCACCCCCTTCCTGCAGCATATGTGTACAACGTGCAAAGTGTCCCCCCCTTCCCGCAAAAAAGAGAGCCCTCCCAGCCAATGAAAATGGTGGGAGGTGTAGAAAGAGGGGATGAGAGCATCCTCCTCTCCAAAGCGAGAATCCAAATTAAAAAAAATATAATAATAATAATAATATAATAATAATTATACACAAATGTAACTGTCAACAGGACACGGAGCACAAGAAAGGAAGAGGGGGTCGAGCGGGAGGAGCCCAGGACAGGGGGTGGGCGGTGAGATTGTCAACTCTTCATCGGGGAGGCTGGGAGTAGGGGAGTGGGAACCGTCACTTTAATGTCTGTGAAGAGAGGAGATGGAGAAGGGGGTGTGAGGGGGTGGCCCGGACTGTGGGCATGCACCCCCCACTCCCCTCTCCCCATAGGGCCAGGATGCCAGTGGCAGGGCCAGCTGTGGGGGGAGGAGGTCATCGAGCAGAAGGACTGATGCTGGAGGGAGGGAGGAAATGGGCCTTCGGCGGGGGTGAAGGGGTGTCGGTGATGCCCCCAAAGGGCTGGTAGAGGGCTAGCCGGCCATAAGGCCTCTCAGGTGGGAGATCAAACAGGTTGGGGGGCACACGGGGCAGTCCCTGGGTGTAGCAGACACTGGCGGACAGGAGGGGTGATGCTACAGTACCCAGGTATCGAGCCGCATCCTCTTCACAGCTGAGCCCTCAGCCTCAGGCTCTGAGGCTGGGCGCAGCAGGCCCAGTGTTGGCCCGAAGTCCCCCCGTCCGTCATCCCGGTCCCCCGTCTCATAGGATCCCCCGGCTGGGCTGCTGAGACCATCGCCAGGCTCAGGGCGGGCAGCCGGGAACACAGCTGGAGGGGGTGGCGCAGGGCTGCGCTCACGGCTTGGGGACACCGGTTCTGACTTGATGCTGATGTGGGGGTGGGTGGTGACCGTGAGGGCGGCACCCACGTGGGGCAGGGGACTGCCCGGGCTGGAGGAGGGCAATGGGGATGGGGTATAGAAGATAGAAACGGAGGGGTAAGTGACAGAAAAAGCGATGAGAACAGAGGGTGAGAATGGGGGGGCGGGCAGGGGTGCGAGAAAGAGGCCAGAAGAGAGAGGGTTGAATGAAGGGAAGAGAAGGGATATGAGAAATATTAGTTCTCTTTCTAGCCCACGTCATCTCCTACAGCCCAGGGCCCTCCGCCTCCACCCCACCTCCACCGTGGGGCTGGCCGGGGAAGGGGCTCAGGGTGAGTCTCCCAGGCCCGCAGAGGGGACCCCAGGGCTGCCACTATCACTTTGCAGGCTGTGCACTGCACGGCTGCTCGTGATGCCCACTGATGACAGACGGCCCTGGAGGGAACCCAGCTCTCGCAAGGACCCGCCTCTACCTGCTCCTCATCTCTGCCTTCCCAAACCTTCAGGTGGGAAGTCTCCCGAGGACTCACATGAGGTTGCTAAGAGACACGGGGACCAGGTGGGACTGCTGCTGAGGTGGCTGCTGCGGCTGCTGAGGCTGCTGTGGCTGTGGCTGCTGTGGCTGCGGCTGTGGCTGCGGCTGTGGCTGCTGCGGCTGCTGGGGCTGTTGTGGCTGCTGCCAGGCGGCGACGTTGCCTAGCGACAGCCCCCCAGGCGAACTGAAGGCTGGTAAGGAGGAGAGCTCTGCGCTGGTCAACTGGTAATCTGCATGGGAGGAGACGAGAGATGACCCTGGAGCGGAGAGAGCACCACAGCCCCCGTGGCCCCCGTGGGGGAGCCGCCTCCCGGGGGACCACGGCCATGAGGGGACAGGTGGTGGTTAATGACAGATGGGAGGAATTCAAGAAAACCACAAAAATTCCGTGGAGAGAGACGTAACACATGGAGAACGCCATGTGAAGATCGGAGTTGTGCTGCCACAAGCCAAGGAGCTCCCAGAAGACAGGAGAGCAGCCTGAACACATCCTTCCCCGCTGCCCACAGCGAGAGCGTGGCCCTGCTGACACCTTGCTGTGAGACCTCTAGCCTCTGGAACCCTGAGACAGTAAATTTTGTTGTAAGCATAAAAAAAAAAAAAAATCCGTGAAGAAGGCACTCAAAGTTAAAGAAACGCAGGCCATAATAACCATGAGGTGCTGTTTTATACCAGGATGGAAAGAGCTATTTTTTAAAAATAGTGTTGAACTTTTTTTCTAAATCATGTGTAGCTATCACTTTTATAATGACAATTTTAAAAAAAGAGAAAGAAGGGGGAAAAGGTAAGCGGGGAAGGTCTGATACATGCCTAACTGCCGTCTCTTCACCTGGGTGAGGTGGTGGGCACCATGGCGAGTGCTTGGCGAACGGGGCCTCAGAAGCCAATCACTGCGGCTACTGCCCCACCTCTCACACTGCCCCCAGTCCCCAGTAGATATGTAGCAGCGGGGTTCGAGCTGCTGTGCCCACACACAGAAACCCAGGGGATGCATGTTTGCCACCTGGGCCTCTCACCCCTGGGGCAGAGGGGCTGCTACTCAGGGAGCAGGGAGCGCCACTGGCCAAGGTTCTGGCACATCTCCCTGGGGTGGGGCGGGGGTGGGGTGCTCACTACTTTCCAAAATGTCTACCTTAACGAAGAGACTGCGATGTTTGCACAGCCACAGAATAAACAGAACCATGAAACGTTTCACACCTTACACAGCACTGTCGTGTTTCATGCTGCATCCTGTTTGGGACAGTTTAGGAAATGTCCTGCCTGAGGGCCATAGAGAGGCCACACTGTGATAGTGGGAGGGAGGGTGTGCTGTGATGGGAAGCGCACCCCCAATTGCCCCAACACTCTACCACCACGCTATTACTCAGGGAGTCGTTTGCTCTGGCCCTCTGTTTTTCTGTAGGGCAGACAGTATTATCTCTGCAATATAGCAATAAGGTTAAAAGCACGAGCTATGAGGTCACACTTCTAGGCTACCTCCACTTAGGCTGTGTGTGACCCTGGGCAAGTTACTTACTCTCTTCCTATAAACTGGAGGTAATAATCCTACCTACATCACACAGCTGTTGTGAAGACTGAGCAAGTTAATACACAAAGCATATAAAACAAAGTCTGTCCATAGTAAATACTCAGAAGATTTACCTATTATTCTTCACAAATGAGGCAACTGCAGCCTCGTTTGAGGAACATGCAGAAAGCCAGTGGCCGAGCTGAGACAAGACCCCGTTGTTTCCTTTATTTCCTTTCTATCTCGCTCTAGAGGTGGTCCCTGCTTGCTTCTGGTCTGCTAACATTGGCCAGGAGTTTTGGGAAATGCTTATATTTAAAAAGCAGAGCAAGGGCAGAAACAGGCCGTAGGATCAACTATTTCCAACACTTTCTTCACAAACTTGGAAGCCAAGCCCAGAACAGTGCAGTGCCTTGCTTGAGGCCGCACAGTGAGTGAAGGGTAGATCCAACTCCCAGTCCTGCACTGTCCCACCAGACACCAGCCCCATCTACTAGGAGGCCTGACTCTCTGTGGCCAGGAGGAGCATGGCCCCCATGCCACCTGGCAGTCCACTTGGTCTGCTCCCAGAGCCACCACAGCCAGACCTCTGCAGCCAGTGTCAACAAGGGGCCAGTGCCCTTACACAAGGCATTACCACAGCCAGATCGCCCTCTGCCGGAACTTGAACTGGGGCCAAGGACGATAAGCAGCGACCAACTAAACAGCAATGTTTTCACTGGGGTTTTGTTTATACACCTAGGGTCACCTGAAAACACTTGCTGTTTAAACTGAGATCTGCTCAGCTGTTCCTGCAGCAAGAGGAACAGGAGCCCCTGGTTTCTGAGAGGATGTGAGATATCCCGCATACTTACCAGCAGGGCCCCAAGGGCTGGCCCAGGGGCAGAAACTGCTTTCACACCAGAGTGACAAATAGAGTCTATAAGTCTAGCCTTGCCGAGCACCTGTCCCAGGTTCACTGACACCAACTAACTTCCCTCCTGCTTCACAAAGACTGTGACCCGAGAAGATGGCAGAAAACCACCACTGTGGGACTTCCAAATAAACAACAGCTCCTGAAAAGTGGTCTGAGCTGCCCTCTGCTAACCGTCCCTGCTCCCGCGCCACGCTGCCCAGGGAGCTGGATTTCCTAGCGGGGCCCCAGAGCCTCAGTGGCAGGGCTGGAAGAGCCCCACAGACCCCCGTCCACCCAGTCCTCTCACAGGCGGAGACTGGCCCACGGGCGTGGCTCCAGAAGCAGTCCTCTGTGAAGCAACGAGGACTTAATAACCTGGGAGAGGGTACGCGTGCGTCGGACAAGGGGCCGACAGACACCTGGGCAGTAAAATCTATACACAGACGCACACGCCGAAGTGTGGCCTGTCAACCGGAGGCGGTTCCTTCAGCTCTCTTACCTGCCGTGAGAGGCTGTCCTATGCGTGGGGCTGGGTTCTGGATTTTTACACATGGGAGGAGGTGGGATTCTGTGGGTACTTATGCTGGTGCCTCATACCCAGCGTGGTTCAACTCCAGGATGGGGATTTGGGAAAGAGGGAGAAGTTTGACTCTTCTGGTCTAGCCTGATGTCATCACAGGAACAGCCCTAATGCAAGCCGTTCACCTGTGAGAACTGGGGGAAGGCAGAGGTCGCTTCCGCTGGGGACAGCCCGGGTTCCCCAGCCACATCAATGCTCTGTAACAAGGTGACAAGGCATTTCCCCATCGGGAAGTCTTTCCTCACACAGCAGCTTGGACAGCAGGCAAGGACGGCTGAGACTGTCACAGTCTGCTCCTGGGCAGATGTGAGTGAGTGACACTGTCCTGGGGACCCAAGACAGCCTGGGCACTGGGTGTCCTGTCTGAATTCTTCTACCCAGAGACCTCTCCCATGTCCTCAAGTGGCTCTTCACCATCAGATCCCGCGCAACCCTCATCCGTCTTCTTCCTTCCTTCCCCCCGTCACTCTACTGCCAAGCCAGAATCAGAGGGAGGGACCCCTTTCCTCCCCCTCCCCCTGCCCTGGAGCCCCCACCTGGCTTTCCTAGGACGCTGGCAAGTTGACCTTGACCATACTTCCTCTGTGGCCTCCTCAGCCTCCCCATCTCTTCTCTTCCTCATTCCTTCTCCTCCAGGAAGCCTTTCTGGACTGACCCTGTCCCCTCGCCACTCCTCAAACCTGAATCATTTGCTCAGCCTGCCTCTGTCCTATGTCCTCAGCTTGGAGGCTTCCTTAGGACAGGGCCTCCCCTCTTCATTAGGTCCTTTATTAAAAATAAAACATGCCCAGTTAAATTTGAAATTTCAGATAAAATGGGTAATTTTTTGGTATGTGTATATCCCAAAGACATACTTACACTAAAAAAATAATGCATTATTTTATCTGAAATTCAAATCTAACTGGGTATTCTACGTTTTTAGTTGCTAAATCTGGCAACCATTATTAGGTGGCGGCTCCCCCCAGTCCGGCCTTCCTTAGATTGGGGCCTTCCCAGGGGATATCTAACATTTCCTCTCTGGTCACTCCTCTGCCCCAAGCCCAAGTGCACACCATGTCACATGAATACTCACCTGTGTTGTAGGCAGTGGGCATGGAAGAGAAGGGGAGGCCCTGGCTGAGTAAACTCGGCGTTGCCACGGAAACCACTGGGGTGGTGAGCGAGTGGGTAGACTGGGAGACCCCAAGGCGCTGGGCATTATTCTGTAAGAGAAAACTGTCTGTCAGGAGGTGGCTGGTGGGCGGCAGCCTTGTGCCCTCCATTCCAGAGCTGAGATGGGGGTTCCTAAATCCCAACGCCAAGGTTGGGTGTGTTAGCATAGAGGCCCGCGCAGGTACACAAACACACATTGGTGCATTTACAGAGACACCAAGACCATGGAGAGAAACATGCACACACAGATTCATTCACACCTACACACATGCAAAGAGGAAGGCACAGGTGCTGGCCCTGGGGCCCCAACACCAACACTGGCCCTGTCTCCCGGGGCGGAGTGAGAGAAGGGAGACGTCGTTCCTCGCCTGGCTCGTCCCTCTGGAGTCTACTCTCCATCCATCACGCCGCAGCACACGCCCCGGGAGAGGCGTGCTGGCATCTGTGAGGGGAATGTGGAGCCTGGCGTGGCGTGTGCCTGCGCGTATGCACACACGTGTGTGGGGCTGTCAGCTCCATCTGCCGCTGAGTCACTTGTTTATTCCAACTCCACGCTGGGGCCGAAACTGCCGCTGTGTTGGCCGCCAAAGCCTGCCTGCCTTTTCCAGCCTCTCTGGCCTCCCGTCAGGGAGTTGGGGAGGGAGGAGCCCCCGCCCCACTCCTGGCTGAGGGTGAGTATGTACGTGTGAGAGAGAGAGAGGAAAAAAGAGAGTGGCTGTGTGTGCCTTTGAGTGCCCGTGAGACGGGCTGAGTGTCGGGGGGAGCACAGGAGACAGAGGGGAGGCAGGGAAGTACCCCCTAAGAAGGACAACTCCGGCCTTGGCTTGGGCCTCAGCTTCCCCTGAAAAACCAACGTTACTGTCCAGCTGGCAGCCCTCCTAAGGAAGTCCCTGACCTGGGTTCCAAGAATGCTGTGTGGGCCTAAGTAGAGTCAGAAAACCAGTGGGATCCAACTCCCTGGTCCAAGGGCCTAATCCAGGCAGCAGGGTTGGGACCCCGAGACCTGGGGCTGGCCCACTCCCCCTTGAGCACATACATACACACGGAGAAAGGTGTGTCCAAATGAATGTCACATCACATAAAGATATCCATGTACACACAGGTACATACACATGCAAGTCTAACCTCTCACCTGCGCCCCATTCGCCTCTGTGTCCCGCTTGGCACTGAACACAGTTCCTGGCAAACAACCAAATAAACCAACGACGCACAGTACACACGCAGGCAAGAGAACAAGGGCACACTCATACTCCATGCTGGTGGACCGCAGAGCAAAGCCACAGCAAACGTTTCACGGCGTCACTTACCAGATCTAAATGGTCCTCAGTCTGAGAGCAGAAATAAAACCAAGGGGATATTCAGTCTCTGGCCTCTGCCCTCCCCCACACCTCTAGCCCCACAGTCATTCCATCCACCTCTCTGTGGAAGAGCAGGATGGCTCTCCCCAGCCTATAAGGACAGAGCTCTTCACTGTCCTGACTGATTTCCAGAAGATGCTACATCCCAACCTCTACCAGTTAGGAAATCCTCACAAGCTGATCCCCATCCCTCCTACTATAATGGCAAATCCTTCCTACTATCCTCCCCATCACAGAAGCTTCTCTCCCACCTCATGTCCCTTTTTTACTGCCCTTAGGCTGGTACTTTCTGGGTACCAATCTCTTAAAAGGCCCTCTGGGAAGAAAGAACTCATGAAGAGCCATGCTTCCGTATCTCTCTTGGGAAGTCCTAACTGCTGGCTGACCTTCACCTCTCCTGCTAGAAGTCTGCTCCTTGCCCAGTCCGCACTCTCCCATTCCCCAGCCCCTGCCCTTGGCGCAGGCACCCACTTACCAAGTGATGCATTAACCCCTTTCCTCCCTGGGAAGTGATGACTCGCAGGTCAGGCTTGCGGCTGGGGGCTCCAAGCTGGGTGCTATGGGTAGGTGGGGGCGGAGACTTGGCAGGGATGACTTTGTTTAGGCTGTTGCCATTGGCCACAGGGAGGAGGCCAGGGGAAGCCCGAGCACTGACGTAGCCATTCCCTGGAGAAGTAACAAGATGAGGGTAAAAGGAAAGCCACAGGCCTACCCTTCAGTCCTGTTAACTTCCCCATACCAATACTCTTGTCACCCGGAACTTCTCAAAGCCATGCTTAGGCTTGGTGTGGATGCTGAGCTTTCCAAGAACTTCATGTCTTGGGAATAAGGGGAAGAGAACACTCCTCACTCCTGAATCAATGGGTTTATTTCCCTGCCTCCAAGCTACATGCGATGGGGCTGGGCGGTGGGACTCTGACGTCAGTGGGAAGAACTGGAAAGTGACCACTGCCTCTGGGCCCCACAATGGCCAAGAGGTTCTTCTGCAGCCAAGCCTCTCCCTGCCTTTTCTCTTCTTTGGTCTCCACAGGGAGCAAGTCTACCACTTTCAGATCCCACAGTCTGCCCCAGACAGGACCCACAATAACCAGGATGGGAAAGGGGTGGCAGCCTGGAATCTGGGCCTCGGTGAGAAGCCTGGTCACCAGGACAAATCACCAACCACTTGGCCTGCTCGCTTTGCCATGAGCTGGGGATCGGCACATGACAAGTTGCCTGCAGCTTGGAGGAGACAAGCCATTCACTGGTGGTGATGGTGTTATTGGTACTGGTCAGATAACACAGCCACCACCATAATTAGACTGGTAATAACAAGCATAATAACTATCTTTTACATTTGCTCACCACTCCACAATCTACACGGGCCTTTCACACACGGATTATCTCATTTAATCTTCACATTAACCCTGCCAGATGGACAAGACATGTATCATTAGCCCCGTTTACAGAAGAAACTAGAGCCTGGTTGGGAGAGGTGTAATGACCCGTCCAGGGCCACACAGCTGGCTGAAGGCCAAGCTAGGGCTCTCGCCTGCTTTCTACATGCAGAACTCAAGAGCCTCTACTGTTTCCTTACGGTGTGCAAGCATTTCTCTGGCCCCCTCCTTGGAGAGGGAGGGATATTCACCCGTTCCTCCAATTTCCCCACACCAGTACACAATTATTGCCAGGGAAGTATTATACAGTGCCTGAGGCTGAGCTGAGGATTCTAGGTCCAAGGATACGGGGGTGACCACAGTCGTAAATGCCACCTTGCTCTGTCCCCTAAGAGCACGCTGTTGCCCTAGAAGTGTGTGCCTGCCTCCATCCCAATTCCCAGATCACTCTGGGAATGGCAGGAATGTCAGGGTGACGTCAATGGTGACATTCGAAGTCATAGTCACCCAGCCGGACAACAGCACAGGGCAGGAGGCGCTGTCAGCTGCTGGGGAGGGTGGGGCAGGAGGAGCAGCCTTTCTTCTGTGGCTTATGTATGTGAGCTCACAAGTGCACAACTAATGCCTGGGTATTTCTGCAAGAGTGAGAATGCATGTATGTGTGTGAGTGCGTGTATGAGCCTGTGCCTATTGTTTGTCTAGGCAACGCCAGGCATTCTCACCTTCCAGATGCCCCCATACAACTGGAAAAACTTGGATGTTCCCCTCCAACTAGAAATGTTGGCTGATTCTCACAGTTTGCCCAGAATTCCCTGAGCCTGCATCTCTGTTGATCATTCACATCAAGCACTGCTACAGATAGCAAAATCCATGAGCTTAAAAATCTCTGCCTCTTGGCCGGGCGGGGTGGCTCATGCCTGTAATCCTAGTTCTCTGGGAGGCCGGGGTGGGCAGATTGTTTGAGCTCAGAAGTTCGAGACCAGCCTGAGCAAGAGCAAGACCCCGTCTCTACTAAAATTAGAAAGAAATTAATTGGACAACTAAAAATATATAGAAAAAATTAGCCGGGCATGGTGGCACATGCCTGTAGTCCCAGCTACTTGGGAGGCTGAGGCAGAAGGATCGCTTGAGCCCAGGAGTTTGAGGTTGCTGTGAGCTAGGATGACGCCACGGCACTCTAGCCCGGGCAACACAGTGAGACTCTGTCTCAAAAAAAAAAAAAAAAAAAAAATCTCTGCCTCTTTATCCAGTTCAGGCCCTGGCATTTTGCTCTCCAATAATCTAGGTCCTTCTTGGTCCTTGGGACCCTGAGACCCCAGAGCGGGCAGACCTCCCTGCCTCCAGGTAGAGGACGCTGCACTCACCAACAGGGCTGGGGCAGGCTCCATTAGCACTGTTCAGGTCTCCCCCCAGCATGGCCCCTGGAGGAGAAACAGAACCATGACAGCTGACAGACTATACCCCTTCCAGAGCGAGTACTGGGAACCGAACAGGAAGAGGGGACCCCAGGAGGAGGAGGAGCCACACAAATGAGGGAATGCTGTGGTGGGTGAAGAGAAATACTCGCTGTTGAAAATGGAATCCCAAAGTCCCCATCAGACCTCATTGCCACCTCCCCCGCCCACCGACCAGCCCACTTACCCGCACTAGCTGGCCGCTGGGGCAGGCCGGGCGACACACTATTCCTCTGTAGTGCTGGCTGCTGGGGGGACAGGAGCCGCGGGTCCGTGAGGGATGATGTCACCAGGGAAGGGGTGACCAGGGAGCCGCTGGGATTGCTGAACTGCAGTGAGCTCTGATTGGACACGGGCACCGTGACAGGCATGGCAAAGTTGGGGGCCGGGACAGCTGACTAGACAGAAAGATGGAGGAGCAGGGTCAGGCCAGGCAGACCCTTACCCTGAGCCCACTTTGCTTGGGAGGGCAGGCAAGGGTTCTTCTCATTTCTGGGCTGTGCATCCTAGGGCCAACTCGAGCTCCTTGCCCTGGGCCCCTTTGGAGTCCTGCCTGCCACTCCCAGCAAGGAAAAACTTTGGGATCCAGCTATGCCCCGGAGAATGAGAACAAGGCTCTGCTCACTGCAGACTGGACCAGGGACACCCCCTAGTGGAGGCAGGTTAGTCCTCAGCCAGGCAGGACACACCGGGAGCAGGTTAGAGGCCCTGAGTATAAATCTACATACACAGCTGTTAAAGGCCTGCACCGTGGGTTGGGACAACATCTAGCCTGCTACAGAGGGCTCACTGCTTTCCCCCAAACAATGCTGAGTGCCTTTGGCTGGGGCATGAGAGCAGGCCCCAGGGGACCTCTCCCCAGAAAACATCTGGACAAAGAGCACACTCTACTTTCCTGTCCCTTAAGGATCTTATGTGATCTACACACTTATTGCTGGTGAGGGGGACACTGCAGGCCTCTCTGGCTTATGCTCCATCCAAGATGAGTCTCCGAGAGGGACACAGGTTTACCATGACCAAGGTCAGAGGTTCCTCAGTGGTCACTAACAGCCCCAGCATGGCTCAGAGCAGAACATCCATCAGAGGCAGCCGAGGGCTGGGGCGGGGCGCGAAGCCACACCATGCACCACAGGGAGGCTCTCCTCCATGCGACTACTCACGGCCAGTCTATAACTCTGCATCATTTTATCAAACTCCTCGTCTATCTTTTTATATTTCTCTTCCGTCTGGGGGGTCAGGGCAAACACCTCGTCCACCTCAGGGCTCTCACATTCCCTGTGCTTCTTGTGCAGCGCCTGGGGGGGAAGGGGCCGGAAGGGGGGGCCAACAGAGAGAGAGTGAGTGGGGCTCACCCCGTAGCGCCGGAAGAGCCCGTCCAGCTCCTCGCTGGCGCGCCGGTACTTGTCCTCCAGCAGGGGGCTCTGTTCCAGCGAGTCCTCCCCGTCGGGCTCTGGGCTGTCGCAGCCGTTGAAGCCCTTCTTCCTCAGGGTCTGTAACCGCACCACTACCATCAGCGGGGTGAGGGTCCTGCCCACCTTCCCTGAGTTCCTTCCGGCCCTTGCCTGAGATCCCCCTATTTTCTCCCCCTCCCTGTCCCTGACCGCCTTCCTCAGGGGTCCCAGCATCTCCCCAACCCCCCCTCCCTTAGTGCCACCTGCCTCTCCCCACTAACAGTGCCTCCCTGGGCACTGTGTAAAGATCTGCTTGGTGGAGGAAGCATCAGAATACAGGGATCATGTGGGAGGTGGGCCTAGACCAGGGGTGCACTTTGCATGGAGATAGTACTTCCAAGGTGCAGGTAGGAAGGGGGCTCCACGGGGATGGGCTGAGGGGCTGGTACCCTGGGCCAGCCCCTGCCTGACCACCCTGTGGTGAGCCCTGGCCAGAAGGTACCAATCGTTCCCCGGGGGGAGGTAGTTAGGGTGGTTTCCCATCCCAATCCCTGGGCTCTGCTTAGGAGAAATGGGGGACAGAGAGAGAGAGAGAGAGAGATGGAGACAGAGAGACAGGAACGAGACACAGAAGAGCAAAGAGGGAATGAGCGTGTACTCTGATGGAGGCATACCTGGTGGGTCTGCAATAGACCTCAAAGCTGCCCTCTCCATGCTCAAAATACCCTGAAAGATACTTGCTTTGTCTTCGAAATCAATGAGTTTTTACATTCTAGTCTAGAGTAAATCTGTTTTCTCTAACATAAAACTAAGAGATTTTCCTCTCAATCTCTGAGTAGGCCTGTGGCTTCCCAGGCACCCTCTTCATCACCACGAGTTCTGTGCTCCCAAGGTGCACGCACCTCAGTGTGAGAAGCGGGAACATTCCATTCACACGGCACCCTTCAAAGCAGGCACTAGCTCCATTTTGTGGAGGGGGACACCAAGGTGCAGGGAGGCCAAAGGCCAAAGCTCCGAGAGGCCAACGCACCTGCCTAAGGCCACGTGGCCAGGAAAGGCCAGAGCCGAATTCCAAAGCTCGTGTCCTTCAACAGTTCACAATGTCGGCTCTCTTTGAAACAGAAAATAGAACCACAGGGACCCACAAAGGGACAGAGACAGAGCAGGAGAGATGGAAACAAAGACGGAGACAAAAAAAGGAGGAGGCAGATGTAGGAGCAGACCAAAAGATGGGAGAAAGGGGGAAAGACAGAGAGAATGAGAGAGAAGACAGAGTAGAGAGAAGTTATGTCATGCCTGACAGAGGTGGAGACAGACTCTTAGAGAGGGGGTGGGAGTGGGCTGGGTGGGCAGCCCCCTCCCGACAGCTAGGCAGCCTGGTGCCGGCCCGTTCACCTGTACGGCATGCCCCTCCTTCCTCCTCGGGCCCAGGCTCTGCGTGAGAAGACGTGGGCTTAAGTGTGCGCACACGGGGGAGGGGCTACAAGGGCAAGGTACACAGGTGCGTGCGCACAGGCAGGCCTGCAGGTGCCTGCTGCATGGACGTGGGGACATGCGCATGCAGGGGTGGTACCAGGGTGTGTGCCCACCTCGATGATGTCGGCATTGGTGCGGCTCTCGTGCGGCTCGTTGTACTCCGTGTACTTGAGCAGCACCTTGTCCATGTCGGTGCTGGCGTACTGGAACAGCTTGTTGGAGTGGTTGAAGATGATGAGCGCGATCTCGCAGTCGCACAGCACACTCAGCTCATAGGCCTTCTTCATCAGCCCAAACTTCCGCTTGGTGAACGTCACCTGCAGAAAGGCGGTGTGTAGCCGAGTCTGGCTTAGTCAAGGCTTGCCCAGGAGTCCCAGCCTACAGGCAGCCGCACATAGCCCTGCCCTCAGGTGCCCCCATTCTCAGGGTGACACAGCCCTTGCTCTCAGGAGTCCCTGGTCTGGGGAAGGAGCGGGCTAGCACTCCTCTGCCAACACATGGCAGAGGTACAGCCCAGACCCAACTCGCTGAAGGGAGAGGATTCAGGTGGACAGAACTCCCCACCTCCGTGCTGGGGGCTACGAAGAGGTCAGTGGAGAAGAGTAGAAGGGCCTCCTAAGGTCAAAAGAGGGGAAGCGTTCATTTGGGGAAAGAGGAGTGCCCAGGCATGGCCTAAGCCTGGCATGTGGCTCCTGGATAGGGGCACAGTCCCATCCGGTTGCAGCAGCAGATGACCTTCAGAGTTCTGGGACACAGCATTCCAAGAGTTGCAAGGAGATGGGGGCTCGTCTTCTCCCAACCTTAGCCCTTCCCCTTCTGTAAAAGCTTCTAGAGTCCCCCCCTCTTCCAGGAGGCCTTCTTGGAGTGCCTAGAAGGAGGAGAGGCAGAGGCCAGCTCCCTGCCCTCACCCACTCCACGTGACTCTAGGACTTCCTCACCTGTCGGTTCCGCTCATCGGTGATTCGCTGGATCTGAATCTTTTTCCTCCCCATCTTCTCCGGGGGTCCTCAGTGCTAGGGAGGGGAGGGGCTTGCTGGGTTGTGGGTCTCGGCACACCTTACACTGTGCTCATGAACGGTCTGGGATCAGCGCTCAGTTCATGGTCTGCAAGACACCTTCTGCACAGCCTCCTGGAAGGGGAGGATCACAAGAGGACCCTAAGCTTGCTCCTTGGTCTCGCTCTTCAGGCACACAGGGCAGGCTCACAGCACCCCCGTGAGAGGCTGGCAGCATCTGAGCCCCGCCCTCGAAATGAGGCAATGCTGTCTACCTGAGGCAACAGCATGCCACAGCCTGGCACACACAGGAATTCGCACCAGGCTCTGCCCAGGCTCTTTCCCCACAGTCACTGCTGCTCTCAGGCTCTAGGTCAAACAGAGTATATGGATCTCGTGGTTTCTAAGGGTCTGGGTCTTAGGAAACACTCCATGTCCCCTTCTTCTCCCCAGAGCCTGCTCGGAGTAGAGACACCTGGGCTCTCTAGCTGCCCTCTGGCCTAGAACCATGATTCCTGGTGCCAAGATGGGGCGTCTCTGGTGTCCCTGGCTCAAGAACACTAGAGCAGGCCTGGAGCAGTGGTCCTCACACTCAACTCATGGAACCCTGGGGCCTGGAGTCCTGCAGTGGGGGCTGGGGCTGCAGAACCCCTACCTCCCTCCACCAGGCCTCCTCCACACTGAGCGGTTTTACTCAGTGGGCCTCGGTCTACAGTTTTGTTTGAAGAAAGGATTTTGTTGCTTAAAACAAACAAACAAACCACTCCCTTATACCAGAGGACAGCAAATTTTGGGCCACATAGTAAATATTTCAGGCTTTGCAGACCATAAAGTCCCTGTTGTAACTACTCAACTCTGCCATTGTAGCATGAAAGCAGCTGACGGCAACATGTAAACTAATGAGCAAGAGCATGGCTGTGATCCAATAAAACTATATTCACAAAAATGGGCATGGGCCAGATTTGGCCCACGGGTCAGAGTTTGCCGACTCTTACTCTAGAGATATGGGCCAAGTCTAGTCTAAGAGTAGTGCTTCCCAACCCGGCACCTAGAGGCACACACGGAAAACGTAAGGCCAAATGACATATACTGTTGAGGCCACTGGCAGCCAGGGGGACGCAAGCACCAGGCAGAGAAATCACATCTCAGTACATCTACAACCTCCTCACGGCCCACTGGTCGACAGTTCCAGTTCCAGAGGCAGGATGGGAAACGGAGCCCTGCACTGCCCAACTCCAGGAGGCACCATGGGATGGGAGGGGACGCAGGGATGGCAGCACAGCCAGAGCCAGAAAAGTGCATGCTCTCAGGTGTGGGCAGTGCCCATACAGGCTAGGCGGGCCCGCAAGGACTGGAAGGGCCGAGGATGGAAGCACAGGATGACCTCAGGGCCCCTCCAGCTCTGTTATTCTAGGAGTCCTTGCATCAAAGGTAGAACTTTCTGGAAGATGTTGGAGGAGGGCAGTGAGCATGGGGCCCATGCTTCTGAAGCCACTCTGTTTGGGTCCTGGGAGAAGCCTGGACCAGAGAAGGCCAGCCCTCCCCTCCAGAGTTCCTCCTCCACAGAGGCCCCACTCAGAGACCCAATTGCAGAGCTCAGGGAGGTGGGTTCCCAGCCTCTGTCTGACCCCCAACCCCAACCTGGGTAGAGGTGTTGCTGGGATGTTTGATGACAGAGAAGCACCCCCTACCCCAGCCAGTGGGAGTGTTGCTGAGGTTCCCTGGAGCCTTTCCAGCCCCACTCGACATGGCCTCTAAGGACCACAGCAGATGCCGAAGTTCAGCCTTGGCATCTTGCATGGAGGGAAGGGGGAGAGGAAAGAGGGGTATCTATGGACTTGGGAGGAACCAGGAGTACCCCTCCCCACTTGCCCGGTTACCAGGACTGTCCCTCAAGCTTTCCCCAGCCCAGCTGGAAAGAGAGCCTCTGCTCTACCCAGATAGCTACAGAAAACAATGCAGCTCTCTCCCCACGCCTCAAAGGACCCTCCACCCCTCTTGTTCTTCCCTCCATGGGCCTTGGGCGTCCTACTGTCCCTGCTGCACATATCCCAGGACAACACCAACAACAGCCCAGCCAGCCCTGAGTGGCCCGACAGACACCCGGGTCTCAAACCAGCTCCAGCCACCCCATTCCTCACCTGTGACCCCAATCTCTGCTGAACTCCCATTGCTAAGGCTCCAGCCCAAGGACTTTAGCTCCCCTGCTTCCCAGAGAGCAGTGCAAACACCGTGCTTTCTAGAGCTACAGTGGTGTGGGCTTTGGCAGGGAAGGTGAGGAGGGAACACAGAGGGCAAGGGGAAGGGGCTATGAAGAGTTGGCTTCTTAAATAAGATTTTCTGGCCCGGCCATGAAAACCCCAATCTAGACTGGTAAGTGCAACAACTACTGCACTCCTCTGGCTTACAGCAGCTACCTTCCTGCTCCCGTTTGACTATCTCCCTACCCTTTTGTTCATAAGCACATCCTTGCTGAGATGTAACCTCTATAAGCTTATGACCAACACTGTCTCTTCCTTCAACTTGGGAGAGAAACCCTTTGTTCTCACAGCCCTCAGAAAAGTCACTCTTACAGTCTTTCTAGCACTTATCGCAATTGTAAATAATTATAATTCCATGCTTCTATTTAATGCTTGGCTCCTGTAATAAGACTGAAATTTCATGAGGGCAGGAATCACAGCTATCTTTTTCACTACTCTATCTCCTACAAGAAGGAGCTCAGGAAATGCTGAAAGGAAGAAAAGATGAGTTCATTGTCGTGATCCTATGAGAAGTCCTTCTTGCAGTCTAACCTCCGTCAGTCCTGCTGCAGTACTGGTTCCTCTCACTCTATCCTCTATGAAGCTAGAACACTTCCTCTCCTGGCTGTTCCTGAAGATTGTCCTGGACACCACCCACCCTCCAAACACCCCTGCCATCTCAGTCCTCAACCCTCCCTACCCTCAGGTTGGCTGGTGCAGAGGGTGAGACTCTGAAGTCTTCTAAGGAGCAGCCCTGAGCACATGGAGATGGAGAGGATGGGGTTGCTTAGGCAACTGTCGCCTGGCAACCAGCTCCCAGGCTGATCTCCTACACCGCCCCCCCCACCCCCGCCTCATGCTGGGGGAGCTGGGATGCGAGAGGGATCAGGGCTTAGAAGGCAGAGAAGCCATAGAGACCCACTGAGCATCCTCTGGTAGAGAGACATCAGGGTTAAAAAGACGAGGCCCATCTATCCTCACTCTCTGGCAAGGTAGCCCAAAGCACTTTTTATAATTCCATGCTGCCCAGGACCCTTATCCCATTGCTGCTCCCTCTATGCCAACACTGCCAGAGGAGGAGATACCCCTGCCTTGGGCAGTCCTCCCTCCTATCTAATCATCAACCCTCCTACAAAGCAGGCTCAGTTTGTACTAACCTCTTTCCCTTCAGCTGTCCATTCCACATTGTTGCAGGGTCTTTGACAGCCCTGGGGCAAAAACATGAACTCAACCCTGACTTTGGAAGAAAGGGTGGCTGGGGCCTAGGTGGGCATAAAGCACCCTAAACTGACCCTATCCAAGGTGTGGAGGTCTCTCCTGTCCAAGCTTCCCGCCTACCCAATTAGGGAGATTTTAATGAACACCTGGACCTCCTTAATTAGCCCTCTGCCTAATTACCTAACCAACTGCCAGGAGCCAGAGGCCTGGGCATCTGTTCTCCAGATGTGAGTCTCTCCTCCCCAGCCTGGCCTGGCCCCATTCGTCTTCTCCTTTCTGGCCAACTCCTCCTCTAGGAAGCCCTCTCGGATGTCCTGGCCCTTGGATGCTTCCCTTCTAACTCTCTAGCCTTTACTCTGCCTGGTATCTGGAGCCCAAGGCTTGGGAAGGCTTGGGCTGCCAAAGAGACAGGGGGTTGGCCAGGATGGCCTTCCTGCTCTGATGGTCCCAGGGCTGCCCAATCTTGACCTCAGGCCATAGCTATGACTTGGGCTGGCAGCATCTAGCACCCCTTTGAAGGCTCTGGCTGCTTGACTGTGGACAGGGTAGGGTTGGGCAGGGTGGACCTCCTAGGTGGTGGGGTGGGGGCAGGCAGAGGCAGGGCCTTCCTGATGGAGATAGGAGAAGCAAAGTGGGGGCAGGGAGAGGGCAGTTAGGCTGGCCCCAAGGAGGAAGGCACAGACCCACCTCTGTGGAGGAGGGTGGCTGAGGAGAAGCCTTTGCAAATGGAGAGGGGTGAGGATGCAGGGCAGGAGGCCTATCTGAAAACACCCTCAACAAGGAAGGAGAGCTGAGGGAACCAGAGACCATGGAGGATCCAGAAGGACCCCAGGGACAGCCATTTTTCCAAGCTACAGACCCAACTAGAACCAGCAGGTTGCAAATGAGGCACAAATGACATGTAAAATGTACCCTAAAGCGGGATTGGTTTGCAGGGGGCATGGGAGAAGAAACAGGCCCCTGCCTCCCCCAATGTAACACCTCTTGGTACCTGAGCAATATTCAAACCATTCTCGGGTTTCAGAATGATGCTATCTCAGTTCCTGTGTGAGAGTGGCCTGGGGCCAGGGGGGGCTGGAGGTTGAGGGGGAGCGGTCAGGGCAGCCTCCCTGGAGCTGCAGCTGCAGCAGGGCTGAGCAGGGCTGTCCTTCCTGGGAGCTGCAGGAGAAGTCCTTCCAATGGCTAGCCTCCACCCTTCTCTCCCGCTCTTGGCAGAGGAGTACCCACCTCTCCTTCTCCCCCTACGCCTTTCCACCCATATCCACCCCTATCCCAGTGGCCCCAAGGCTCGGAGGAACTACAGAGCATCTGCTTCCAGAGCTCCCACACCAGCACAGGTCAAAATGGAGCAGATGCCCAGAGAGGCTGAGTGAGTGGACCCATGTCACAGAGCAATGGGGTTCAACCTGCTCTTCCACACGGTGAGAAAGGGAGCTCTCATTAGGCAGCCCTTCATCCCTCCCTCCCAGGCTGCTCAGGGCTGCAGGCTGTGGACTGGAGGGGAAGGCAGGAGGCGCTGGAGACAGCTGTCATCCCTCCTCCCGCCCCTTCCCCGTGGCTGGGCTGCAGGGCATGAAATAAGCAGCAGGCACTGGGGGAGGGGGTGACAATCCAATCCACCTGTCACCCCCACAGTCAGGCGGCCTCAAGCAGCCTGCTCACTAACGAGAGAGGAGG